GGGTCTTTGTATGACGGAACAGTTCCACATCATACACACACTGTGTAACTTAACTTATCAGTTAACATATAACCATCACTATGATGGCGTCCATGTGGGCGCCGTATTATTTCATCTAGGGGGGAGGGGTGTTGTGTCCTGAGCCTGCAAAAGCAGGCTCGGGACGTTGCAAGAGTCCCGGGCATTTGCAAAAGCTGCCTGGGACCAGACTGAGTGGCGCCGGCCTTGTGCGCATGCGCAAGGCGGGAAAAGACCGCCTCATGATTGGTTGAACTTGCCCGGGGATCAGAAGGTATAAATAGAGGCCTGCGTGCCTCTGCTCGCGTTGTTCGTAGAATGGAAGCAGAGAATAAAGACTTGTTAGAAATGCTTCGTCTCAAGCGCCATTATTCTCCGGACTTAACAGTGCCATCTTGATCTCAGGACCAGGATGAGGCAGAAGTTTCCACCAATCGGAAGCCACCATCCTACTACTTTGATAGTGATTGATGGGACATGGAAGAAGACACCTAAGACACAGTGAACTACATATTCAACTTAAACCATTTGTTTAGTAACTGTTTGAAGTTACAATGGCAATGAAAAAAAAACGATTTAAGACACCTTCCACCCTTACGACCGTTGCAGTATCCCTATGGTCACGTGTTCAGAATTTGGATGCTTGGCAACTGGCATGTATTTATGACGGTTGCAGTGTCCCAGGGTCATGCGATCAGCTTTTGCAACCAAAAGTCAAGGGATAAGCCAAATTCACTTAACAACCATATTATTAACTTAACAACTGCCATGATTCAGTTAACAACCCTGGTAAGAAAGGTTGTAAAACAGGGCAAATTCACTTAACAACTGTCTTGCTTAGCAACGAAAAGTTGGGGCTCAGTTGTGCTTGTCGGTCAAGGATTACCTGTACCCTGAGTTGCAAAGGCAGAAACCCCAATTAGGTAAACCCGATATAAAGAGAATCAACCTGGAAAAAGTGAGGTAAGCACTCCAAGGAATTTAACGAGGATGGGGACACTCACCTGTTTATAGATGAGCTCAAAGTTTCCCGTGTTGCAGTTGCGATCGTATTTGCGGTCAATGACCACACGCAAGGTATCCTCCTGCACACTGGCACACAGCCGGGTGGTGACAGATGTAGAGGCTGCCATGGTGGGGCTGGCATTGATCTCAATCAGCCACGGCTGATAGTTTTCTCCAAAGAGAAAGTCTGCCCCATAAAGCTCAAAGCTGTTTTTGCGGAACTCCACGAGGTCCTGAGAGGTCTGTATGGCGTGAATGATGGCCGCCTTCATGCCAGGCACAATCACCTTAGACCAGGCCTCTGGTGCTCCCATTTTCCGCAGGTGGATCTGGAATTGATCAGACGACCACATGTTGTCTGGGGGAAGCTCAGAATGGCGGTTTAGGGAATTCTCATAATGTTTCTGGATGGAGTTATTGCACAGGTGGATGGAACTGGGGTGAAGAAGACGAAGATGGGATCAATAACTGGCGCCAGATCATATGCCAAGGATTTTAACACAGGATATATCTACTAAG